TTGTATTCTGTCTCTCCTTCAGACACCTCAAATACAGTGGTTTATTTAACCAATCAGATAATAAATTTGTCTGTGCATCTTGTAGTACCGAAACACCATCAGAATGCAGCAGTCAGCTGTTGAAGGAAGTGGTTCCTTTCCCGCCTGTTCGAATTTCCCGAAGTTCTTGAATTTGTGTAAGTTGAATTCTTGCTGTTCATAACCAGTTTTAGCTGCATTCCGCACTGAACGTTCTGTACAACTATTACTTCGTTCGCTGCTCATCATATACGTTTCAACTTTGGTGTTGCTGGAGTTGTTCTACATTATGCCTGTGCTTTTCCTTGATTCCGGAGTTACGTTCGCTGTCTATTTTTTAATTGGAGCGTATTTCCTCATCGGATTCGGTTATAATGCCATACAGATCGTCCTGAAAGATCCAAGTATTCGGGGTATGTTGTTAGTGAACAAAGTAACTCGACAATGGACGTACTGCGTTTCGTGTCAATCACCCCGACCACCAAGGACACATCATTGTCATGTTTGCAACATATGCGTTCTCAGACGTGATCATCACTGCGTAGCTCTAGGTAAGTAAAGGCTAGCAAATTTCATGAAATTATTGTTCTGTTCATATTTAATCAGCATGCACACAACTTGATAGGTAAACAGTTTAAAAAACAAACTATTGGCTATTTCCGTACTTTAAAGGTTTCAAATCATTCAGAAACATGGACTGGGGGCTACAGTTCAACGTGATGCATTAGTTCGGAGAACTACACCAAAAATGAGTTGACTAAATAATTGGAAAAAGTGATGGTAAAGTACATGAAGGTGGGAAGTGCATATAAAGTAAAACGTTTTGATGTGTATTAAAACCTTGGAGAACCGAACCACGCCTTTGAAGTGGAATTAAACAGCTTGACCACCACCATCACAGAAACAATAAAAATAACAGCCTGAGAAATTCGTCAGCTTCAGAGCCATCTCGCAGGTTGGAATGAATCCATAAAACCGTAAGGTCTTACTACGAGACTGGAAAGAGGCTACACCTCTCCTCACGCTTATGAACAACCAGTTGGAAAGCATCGAACACTTTACTTATCTCGGGAATTGTTTCATTTGAAGAGAACTGACGGAAGAAATAGCAGCGCGTATCCACGAGACTCGTGTGGCTTTGGCTAACCTACGCAGAAGACGTACGGAGATTCAATGTCTTTAACCGCCTTCATTATATCGC